ACGGACAAGCGAAAACAAACAGAATCAAACAAAACCAGTGAATTCGGCCAGCCGAGGGGCCGAGCGACCGAACGGCTGCGGGCGGGCCTGGGGCGGCCAGTGCAGCCGACGGACAAGCGAAAACAAACAAAAACAAACAAAACCCATGCATTTGGCCAGCCGAGGGGCCGAGCGACCGAAAGGCCGCGGGCGGGCCTGGGGCGACCAGTGCAGCCGACGGACAAGCGAAAACAAACAGAAACAAACAAAACCAACGCATTTGGCCAGCCGAAGGGCCGAGCGACCGAAAGGCTGCCACTGCGATCGACGGACAAACGAAAACAAGCCAGAACAACCGAAACCAGCCAAGGAATGGGGCCATCCGAGGAGCCAAGCGACCTAGCGCTACTGCGCGCCGCTGAGACAGGGCCCGGAAATTTGCAATCTACTTCTTGTAATTGCTGTTGCTGTTGTTTTTTTGGGCGGCCCCGAATGCAATCTACTTCTTCCGCCTTCCTACTTCATGTTTCTACCTACTTCTTCCGACCGGTGGGTAATGATGATACTGATGGTGGTGATGCTGATGGTGATGATAATGTTTATGATGTTGAGTACGATGATGATTATGATGATCTTGATGATAGAGGCCATGCTTATGACACTGATGATGCTGACGATGGTGACGGCCATGATGAAGGTGATGGTGGTAGTGGCGGGGATGATGACAATGATGCGGATGGCGATGTTGACGATGATGATGATGATGATGATGATGATGATGTTGATGTTGACGCTGATGTTGATGCTGCTGATGGTGTTGATGATAGCGATTATGATGATGATGATGATGATGATGATGATGATGATGCTGATGATGATGTTGATGATGATGATGATGATGATGATGATGATGATGATGATGTTGCTGATGTTGATGGTGCTGATGAGGTTGATTATGACGATTATGATGATGCTGATCATGATGCTGATGCTGATGTTGATGCTGGCGCTGGTGCTGGTGTTGGTGGTGATGCTAGTGGTGATGCTAGTGGTGATGATGATGAGGAGGAGGAGGAGGACGACGACGACGAGGTGGGAGGGGTGACGAGGAGGGAGAAGGAGGAGGAGGAGGAGGAGGAGGAGGAGGAGGAGGACCAGCAGCAGGAGGAGGAGGAGGAGAGGAGGAGGAGGAGGAGGAGGAGGAGGAGGAGGAGGAGGAGGGCTCCCCTCCCCGTCCTCCCCTCCTCATCCTCCCCTCCTCCTCCCTGCTCCGCCTCCTCCCTCCCAGTCCTCCCTGCTCCGTCTCCTCCCTGCTCCGTCTCCTCCCCGCTCCGTCTCCTCCCTCGTCCCCGTCCCTGTTCCGTGTTCTCCCCCTCCCTATATCGTCCTCCTGGGGCAGTCGGGGAGCGGCAAGCTTCGGAGGGCCGCCCGCTGGCGGACGCTCTGCCCGCCTGGGGGGGCAACGCCCCCCCGGGCGTGCATGCTTGCTCTTCTCTCCTCCCCCATTCTCCCTCCTCCTCCTCCTCCATTCCTTCTCCTTATAACTAATTCCTCCCTGTCGCACCTCGAAGCCATTTTTGGGGGGCGGGTCGGGCGTTTCGCTTGAGACTTCCCCACCATTCATGATTCTGAGCTCAAAAAATTGGCCACAGCTTCACAGATAGAGGGCGGTCGTTTTCAAAATGTGGCTGTCGCCTTAGCGCCGCGCACAGTCGCTTTAAACTTCGCAAGAGTTTCACGGATTGAGGGCGGGTCTTTTTCAAAATGGAGTTTGCCTTGGCGTCGCGCACACTCGTTAAAAAAGTGCAAGGGGTTCACGGATTCTCGCCTTAGCGCCGCGCACACTCGCTTTTAATATTGCAAGGGTTTCACAGATTGAGGGCGGTTCTTTTTCAACATGTGGTTCTCGCCTTTGCGCCGCGCACATTCGTGTTTAACAATTGCAAGAGTTCGACGGAGTCCCATGATCAGCGTGCCAGAAATGGCCATTTGGAAAGACTGGGCTTATGAGGGTGCACAAGCAGTCGATTCGAAGTGTTCCAGTCCCAGGAATGGCGTTCTGGCACGATTCAGCATCGCCAGGACGCAACAGTCAGGTTGATCCGTGGCGCTGGAGTCCCGAAAACAATGTCTTGGCATGCTTCAGGGTCTTCACTAACAGCTGTCTTCCAACGAGACAGTTCCATCAGTGAAAATGAACCGTTGTAGGGGCCTATAATGAGGGAGCTTGGAGGGAGGGTGTATTCCAACATCGGTGATGCTTCTTGGGTTTACACTGGTCGTCGTCCTCCTCCTCCTCCTCCGCCTCCTCCACCTCCCCCTCCCCCGCCCCCTCCTCCTCCTCCTCCTCCTCCTCCTCCTCCTCCTCCTCCTTCTCCTTCCTCCCCTTTCTCCTCCCACCTTCTCCTCCCTCCTCCGTCCTCCTCCCTGCTCCTCATCCCTCCTCCTTCCCCTTCTCCTGCTCCTCCCCAGGGCCACCCCTTGTGCAACTGCTTTCGTCCTCCTCACATTCCTCCTCCGCGCGATCACCCTGCAATGCATTTAAACTGCGTGCGGTTCCTCTTCTTTGTGACGTTACCCAAACCGGGCTCGACTGATAGTCTTGAGGAGCAGATAAGTGTTCTTGCCCGTGGACGGGCTTTTCTCTTGTTCGTGGTCTTGGCCGCCTGCGTCCCTTGCTGTGGCCCAGCGTCCTCTTCCCCCCAGGACCTCCGACGTCTTGATCTGTTCAGTGCCGACGTGGCTCCCCAATCTCGGCCTCCAGGGGCCCTTCTCCGGCCCTGTGGTCGTCATAGGTGTGTTCAGGGCGGACAGCTGGCTTCGGGGAAGGGGTTTGGATTCCCGGAGGCCATGGATGGGGAGAGAGAGAGAATTTTGGGCACATGGGCCCCCCCCTCCTCCTGCTGGCGGATCTGGTGAATTCACGACTCTAGTTGCAGCGCCAAGCAGCAATCGCACGGCATATCAGCACTGCCCTTGCCAGCGTGATGAATTGGATGGGGATGGATTTGAGCTTCGTTGAGCGCCGCAGATGGACTTGAGTTGATTGCCAGCGTGAGTCGCGCCTACTTGCTGGAAGGATGAAGGCTTCATGTATCAAGGTGCGAGATGGCATCTGCTCCTCCTCCTCCTCCGCGCCCCCTGCTGGCAGCGCAACACGAGCCCGCGCCATGCGGTTCCGCCCTGCTTTCCATCGCACTAGATGCGCCTGGTTTCTCGGTGTCTTGAAGAATCGGTTTCAGAAGCTTCAAGGCTGATGAAGCTGATTGAATATGTTTCCAAGACAGCAAGAAACCAAACGCGTCCAGCGCGATGAAGTATAGGGCGGGACCGCATGGCCCGTATCCTTGCTGTGTCGCCAGCAAAAAGCATGGCGGAATTGGCGCGATGGCAAAATCGCACGTGCCGCAACTCCACCGACCATGCGCAGGCGCGCCGTCTTCGAGACCGCGCGCACGGAAGGCTGCGCTTCAGGAGTAGATGCGGCCAAGTGTCGTCGCATTTGACGCGACGCCGCCAGGGGGGTCGAGAAGTATGGATAATCGTTGAAAGGCACCTTTCGTAGTTGCAAGACGCACTGGGCACTCTTTGCTGAGTGGCCCCGTCAAGAATAAGTGAACGGGCGCACTGGATGACTCACGGCTGAGTGGCCCCGCGCCCGCACACGTCGATGCGCTTGTTTCTTGCGACTTCATTTTTGTCTCGCCAGTTGCGACAAAACCTGTAGGAGGCCGCAAGACGCCCGTAGGAAGCTCCAAGAGGCTTCCGGAAGGCCCCTAACAGACCACAGCAGGTTTCTAATTTGTCTCGAAAGCCGCCCATACAGGAAGGTTCCGAAGGCAAGGGTTTGGGGAGTTTTCTGTTCCGAAGTGGTGTGGTGTTGGTCGTGTTCGGAGACTGCGTTAAAGGTCCAGCCGGACTCATACGTACGCATCAAATCTTTTCAGAACGGCATTCCCGAGTATGCCATTCAGGCGTGTGTATGCGCACATGCGCGAATACCTTCTTCCCGTTGCTAGGCGAGGGGGAAGTCTTGCGACGCAGGGGAAGTGTTTTCCGGAAAGGTTGATGCCCGAAACAACGCCTAGAGCGCCGATGGGGTTGCACTTAGCATGCTGCGGCGGGCCCACGTTCCCACATCGCGCGCAAGCCGTTCGCGCTCTCATCACTATCACCATACTGGCCTGCTCACGGCCACTCCGGGGCTGGGACCAGTCTGAAGTGATCGGGAAAGTAGAAGCGATCAGAATTCGAAATAGGCGACACGTGCACGCAAATGTGCCCAGGTCACCCACCAGGGCGCGGAGAAAACCGCGCTTCGCGGTCTGAGCCGGAGAGCTGGAGGGCTCGTGAGGGCGCGAGGATCTCCGCGATCCGTGCTTCGCGCAGCGCGAGTCGCGGATCTACTAAGACATCCGAAGGCGAGATTCTCCCTGTGCGCGGCCCCAGGGGTCCCGACTCCCTCCCTGGGGCGAGTGGTCCGCCCTAGCTCCGCGTGCGATGGCCCCGAGGCCCCGGACGGAGGCCGAGGCCGGCTGAGCGCCCGGATCGAAGCATCACATCGACGGGGATCTGGCCACGTGGCCTGAACGCTCCTCCTCCTCCTCCTCCTCCTCCTCCTCCACCTCCACCTCCTCCTCCTCCTCCTCCTCCACTCCTCCTACTACTTCCTCCACCTCCACCTCCTCCACCTCCTCCACCTCCACCTCCTCCTCCTCCTCCTCCTCCTCCTCCACCTCCTCCTCCCTCCTCCTCCTCCTCCTCCTCCTCCTCCCTCCTCCTCCACCTCTTCTCCTCCTCCTCCTCCACCTCCTCCTCCTCCTTCTCCTCCACCTCCACCTCCTCCTCCTCCTCTCCTCCTCCTCCTCCTCCTCTTCCTCCTCCTCCTCCTCCTCCTCCACCTCCTCCTCCTCCACCTCCTCCACCTCCTCCTCACTCCTCCTCCTCCTCCTCCTCCTCCTCCTCCTCCTCCTCCTCCTCCTCCTCCTCCTCCTCCTCCTCCTCCTCCTCCTCCTCCCCAGGACAGGCGGCTGCTCCTCATGGCGGACCAGACGGCGAAGCTGTCGGCGCGCGTGGAGAGCCTGCACTCCGCCAGGAGCGGCTCCGGCGTCCAGGAGGCCGCCGCGGAGCAGATGGCGGAGCAGACCGCGGCGCTGCGGCGCCGCTTGGCGCCCTGGCGGGCGGAAAGCGGCGGCGGGGGGGGGGCGCCTCGCATGCTCACGGTGGTGATCACGATGGTGAGCATCAGCGTGGGGATCGTGGTGATTTTGGGCATCGCCCTGATCATGACCTTGAAGATGATACTTATCACCGCCATCGTCATTCATCATCATCATCATCATCATCATCATCATCATCATCATCATCATCATCATCATCATCAGCAGCAGCAGCAGCAGCAGCATCACCATTATTAGTGTTATTAGTATCATCGTCATCGTCATCGCCACTCATCATTATCATCATCGCCACTGTCACTTATCATCAACATCATCATCAGCATCATCATCATCATCATCAGCCTTCCCTGGGGGGTAGCATGGCTTATAAAAAAAATCATCATCATCATCATCGTCATCATCATCGTCATCATCATCATCAGCATCATCATCATCTTCTTCACTACCGTGAAATCATGATCGCCCCGGTCCTGCTGGAAGAGGCTGAAGCACCAGAGGGGTCGGCGAATGCGTTGCCCCCCGCGGAAGGGGGGGGAGGCCGCCTGCCCCTCCCCCCTCCCCCCACATGGAGCACGTGCTCCGCGTGCTCCTCCACAGATTTTTTGTCCGAGGCTTCGCCTCCCCCGCCCGCCTCAAGTGGCTCGGGGTTCTATTGAATACAGGGCCTGCATGCTCTTAGGCGGACCTCTGTTGGCTTCTCGCCCCTCTTCCTCCTCCTCCCTCCTGATCTGTGATGCGGTGCGCCTTGGGTCAGGTCGGTTGGGGGAGGGGGCCCAGGGCCCCAGGAGTGGCCAGAACGCCCGTCGTGCTCTTGTCACTACACCCCGATGTCTGGGGCATGATGCTCCCTCCCGAGGGACGCGGCTCCCCGAGGTGCCTCTACGCAGGGGTAGTATTGTCACCGATACATCCGCCCCCATGGTAGTGACGTTGTCACTGTGAAAGTCTGGTTCCATCGGCGCCTCGGCCCTGCAGGGAAGGCCTCAGAGGTTGGACGGGCACGGGCGGGTGCTAAGTGGTTAGGCCCCTTGGGAGCACTCTTCCACACACGTCTGACATGGCCGCCTGCAGTAGGCACGTCAAACAAGTAACCAGCTGGCCAGCAGGCCTCCCACGGAAGTGGATCATCCCTCGATGGCCCCAGGGACCCCCAGCTATTTGGGGCCTCATTCAAAGACCCTCTCTCAGATCGACGACAAGCGGCCCTTATATTTCTTATAGCCAGACTTGTCATCGTATGTGTCTGCTGCATCTTGGACCACACCGGCCACTCCTGCCGGAGGCCTTCGCGCAGTGCGTGCCCTCCCTCCTCCCAGCGCTGTGGCCGCCCTCCGCCCCATTCCCCCCCTCTCGTGCCGCCGGACAGTAGTTCGCCCTCTCCCGGTTCACTGGAGCGCGCGTGCGGATCGCCTCTGCCGCGCTGCGACGAAAAAAGTGTCCTGCTGGGTCCCGAGCAGCAGAAGCAGTTCTTGATCCTCCAGAGCCTCAACGCCAGGGCCGCCGGCTGTCTGCCGTCGGTCGCCGCTCCTCCTGCCTCCGCGGCCCCCTCCGTGGGTCTCTTGCGGGAGCCCCCAGACCTCCAGCGCCCCGACAACCACCACGGCGGAGGCTTCTTGCCGCCTTCGGCCGCCGGGGGCCGTCCCCAGACCAGGCCCCGTTCGCGGGAAGAGAAGACGTCACGGACGGTTTTTGCTGTTGTCGGCCTGGGGGGGCCTTCGCTGGATCCTGGGACCGTCAGCAGAACGCCCAGGATGAAACGCCTGTCCCAGGGAACAGGTCCACACTTCTCCCCATCCCCTCCTCCTCCTCCTCCTCCTCCTCCTCCTCCTCCTCCTCCTCCTCCTCCTCCTCCTCCTCCTCCTCCTCCTCCCCCTCCTCCCTCCTCCTCCTCCCCTCCTCCCCTCCTCCTCCTCCTCCTCCTCCTCCTCCTCCTCCTCCTCCTCCTCCTCCCCCTCCTCCTCCTCCTCCTCCTCCTCCTGAGGGCCCACGTCGTGAAACAAATCCAGATGTTGGGGGTCTGAGTCTTCGGGCCGGAGGGCCGTCAAGTGGTGATCCATGACGAGAATGTGTCCCAGGATGGGGTCGGGAGTCCTGGGGCCGCGCCTTCTCGATAGCCTCCCAGTCGGGCCCAACAGTTCTCCATCGCGTTTAAGACCTCTCAGTCCCAGACCCTCGACGTCGTGATGTTATTCATGACGTGCAGCCCTAGAGATCTGAACCCCTTTCCCGGTCTGGCTTTTCCTCTTGTGTGTTTGTTTCGGTGGGCCCAATAAGGGCCCTTAGAGGCCGAAAATAGACAAAACCTCCCGCCGGGATTCTTGTCATGACGCGAGGGCGTCTGGCGCCCAACTCCCAGGCGTGGCAGGAGGCGGAGCTGGCCAAGAAGGACGACGAGATCGCGGGGCGCCGCCTCGCCCTGGAGGAGGCGCGCGCGCTCTTGCAGGACCGGAGGCGCCAGCTGGCCGCCGACGACCACGGCCTCGGCCTCGAGCCCCCCGCGGCGTCCGATGCGCCGGCGAGGGACAGGACCCAGGCCTGGGGGGGGGGCTCGGGCTCGGGCGCGAACGCGGGTGTGGGCTCAAGCCGCGGCTCAGGCTGCGGCTCGGGGTCGGGCGCAGGGGGTCGGGCGCGGGCTCGGGCTTGGGGGGCGCAAGGTGGACGCCCACGCCGGGCCTCCGGTCCCTGGGACGGGCGGCGTTCGGCAAGGTTCCGCCAGCTCGGGAGAGACAGAGGGTATCAATGGCACGCCGCCGTTGGAAGCCCGTCAGCGTGTTACTCCTTCGTGCTTGTCATAAGACCTGGTGCTTCTTCAGCTGTGGCGCGCTGACGGGTTCCCCGCGGCGTGCGTCATGGAAATGGCTCTGGCTCCCCCACCAGCGGGGCCACAACGACCCAGGATGGAAAGCCGGTCCTGGGGTGTGAAGCCTCTGGGAGGTCCACGCCGTGAACGGGTCGCGGCGGTGGGGCGCGGGGCCCGCCCGGCCCTGGGTCAGATATCGGTGCGTGCGCCTCCCCTCCGCGGAAGCACAGGCCAGCCTCGGGAATCCGACGCAGCCCAGACGCTCGCCCCAGTGGTATGTCGTCATGCACCACTGGCAGCACTGCTGGTCTGTGCGGTGGGTGTCTTTGGACGTGTGTCCATCGTGTGGGCGACCCTCCAGCCCAGACAGAGCCCCCGCCCTGGTCTCCCGGATGACCTCCTCGTGAAAGCCCCTGGGCCCTCCCGAGGGGCACCCTGCCGGTCGTCTAGTGCTCGCCACCATAGGCAAAAGACAGCGAGGTGGTTGTGTTTTTGGCCATCTTGGCATCTTGCTCCGCGTCGGCGCCCCGTGTTCCTCCGAGCCTTTCCGCACATTCTCTGTCCTGGCGGCTGTACGTTTGCGGGGGGGCTTTGTGGGGCTGCCTAGCGCGACGTTCCCCGAGGGCGTGTTGCCGAGAGGTGGCGGTGGCTGCGGCGACACACCTCGCCTGGGGACCGCCGTGCTTGGAGGGTCCGTGGTCAGCGCCAGGTCGGGATGCGTGGTAGGCGTGGCGGCAGTGGCCCGTGGACATCGTGCACGCCGCTCGCGGACAGAATCCCCATGGACCTCGCGCCATACGTGCAGCGCGGGGGGAGGCGGATCACTCACCCATACCACCATCATAAGGGGATGCGAAGCCCCTGTGAGTGGGACGGGGTGGGCACAGAAGGGCCACCAGGCACCTCGCACCCAATTCGAGACCATCAGTAAAGGCTCGTTTTGGTAATAAGGTCGCCACAGGCCTGCGACCTCAACGATCTCTCGAACACGGTTCGGCGCCGGACTCGCATCCTAGCGGTCCTCGAGGTGGGCAGCACGGCCGCCTCACCGTGGCCAATCAGCTCGTGCTTTTGTCCGTGACCTCACTGCTTGCGTAGCACGCTCTCCCCTCGCGTCGTGACGAAAAATCGCGACGCAAGGTTTCTCGCCGTGTGCGGCCACGGGGGGGGCCCTTTCCGGGCCTCGCGGGCCCTCCAGGAGACGGCTCGGGCCGAGGCGCCGGCCCCCGGGCACGGGCTCTCAGACCTCTCCGGGGGCCCACGCCACGGGGAGAGGCGCACGACGGCGGGGGCCCGGGTCAGAAGGCCGCGCCGCCGCTCCGAGCCGCCGTGCCCGCAGACCCGGGACGTCGGAGAACCAGGAGGAGAAAAAAGACACAGACACCATGAATCGTCGAGCCCCAGGAAAGCATAGGAAACTATGGGAAGTGGGGGGGAAGACGAAAACCCAGAACATCTGCTAACATGTGGGGAATCCTTGTATTTGTGTGTGTGCATTTATTTGTGTGTCCTGGGGTCCCCTCAGAGAAGAGCGCAGGGCCGCACGGCAGGGTCGGGCCGCGGCCGGGCCGCGGCGGGAGGCAGGGCAGGGAGGGGGGGGGGGAGGCGGGCTGGAGCCGGCCGGGGGCCCTGAGGTGGCCCAGTGTTGGCCTTGGCCAGCAGGAACTTGGCATCGCTCGGACGTGTGCATTTTTCCTTCGGCGAGGACCATCGAGGAGCATCCTTGATCATTTGGCGAAACAACCACGCACGAAACCGACAAAAAACACAGGGAATGGACGTCCGAGCGATGGCGAGGAAAGGGGGTGCGAGGTGCGAGGTGCTGGGTTCAGAGGGCGCGAGGCCGCTCTCGGGCGGGGCCGTCAACAGCGCATCCGGGGGGAAAAGCAGATGGGCCCCAGGAGGGGTCCAGGAGATTTTGAAAGGAGTTGCGCGTGCTCCCCATCTTGGCTCGTCGTTGGGCTCGGCGTTTGGCCGTGGCCTCTCGTCCTCGGCGTTTGGCCGAGCCTTCTCGCCCTCGGCGTTTGGTCGAGCCCTCTCGCCTTCGGCGTTTGGTCGAACCCATGTGCCCTCGGCGTTTGGTCGTGCACTCTCGCCCTGCTGATGCGCCGTGCAGGCGCCTGGCACACCTGACCTGCGCGTGTTCCCCCCTTCTTGGCAGTTTTTGCCGGGGCTCATCCAGTTCAGACCTCCTGGTAGCCTCCAAGATGCGGCTATGGCAGGATGTGGGGTTGTTCTCAGCCCCCCGTCGCGATAATACGATGGCATGTGTTCATGGGTAAGGTCGCTGCAGCATTGCAGTCGAAGGCCGATTGATTTCTCTCTTGCACAGCGTGGGAACGAAGGCCGGATGATCGCTGCAGCATCGCAGTCGAAGGCCGATGGCCTTCCCTCTCGCACGGCATGGGAAGAAAGGCTGCGTTCACCCAAGCGGCTCAGGAGGGGTGCGAAAGAAAGAGGGGGCGGGGGGCAGCGAGTCAGCTCGGCCAGCTGAGCTCTACCAGGCTGAACTGGACCAGGCTGAACTCGGCCGGCGGATCTGTGCGAGGCTGAGCTCGGCCAAGCTGAGTCCAGCCTCGGCCCAGTTCTAGGTGGTTCCAAGATGGGGTCCTGAGGGATGGGGTCCTGAGGATAGGACGGGATCCAGGGGTGGATTTACACTGCTTGAGGCACCTCGTCCGTAGGACCCCATCCCTCAGGACCCAATTGTTGAACCACCGAAGTCAGCCCAGCCGAGTTCGGCCGAGTCCAGCTTGGCCGAGGCCAGCCAGCCGAGATCCCCCGCTTTGTCTGGGGGCACCCAGGCTCTTAGTTGCATCGAGACGCGCGCTTTGAGACGCCACACGTTCCGTGTTCAAGACGTCCGTGTCAATAAGTTGCGTGTTGGCTCCACGTGTTGGACCACGTGTTGGCGAATGTGTCGCGTCGGACTTACGTTTTCAGCCGACGTGTTGAGTTCCGCATCGGTACGGTACGTGTTGCGCGCTGCGCATCGGGGCAGCGGAGCCCAGGCGCGAGCGAGCGCCGCTGGATCGGCGCGCCGCGGGCCGAGCCAGCGGCAGCGGGCCACTGCCCTTCCCCGCCTCCCTCCCGGAGGGGGCCGCCGGGCCGAGCCACACGCCGCATCGAGCCCGCCCCATGCAGCGCCGATGTGCCCCGCCAGCGCGCGGGCGCGGGCCGCGGCGTGCCGGGGGTTCGCCCCCTCCCTGGATTGGGGGTCGGGGTCAGCTCCAGAACTGATGCACCCCAGAATTTCTTCGCGCGTCGAGTCTAGCAGGAAATGCGCGGACTGCTCGGCAGATCTGCGAGAGTTCCGCGCATGCGTGTCAGCTTCGACGAGAATTGCGATTCTGGGGCAAAACAATTCTGTAGTCGATCTCGACTCCCGGGCCCGCCTGCCAGGGCATCGACGCCTGGGTGGCGGACATGAAGGCCAGCCTGGAGCGCAGCAAGGCACGTGGGGGTGGCCACGGGGAGCGGCGGCGGCGCCACCCCGCAGCCTGGCTGCGGCGGCCCAGCTTGCCTGGATGGGGGGGCAGGAGCCGGCGGAGGAGGAGGGCTCTGATCGACTAGACGTAAGAGTGACCTTTCGCCGGAGTGACCTTTGGTGCGGGCCCACCGGGTTCCTCTGGTCGCCAAACGCGATGCGATAGTAGCGTCTTGCGCGTCTATGTGTTTGGCCCCCCCGCGGTCCCCCCAAAGCCGCGCACCCAAAGGCCACTCTTGCCCAGGGTCACTCTTGCGCGCAGTCGATCTGAATGATGACAGACAGCAGGTGCACGAGCAGAGGCAGCAGTGGCCGTCTCGCTCTCCTTGGCCGCCGTCGCCTGTCCTTGGCGAGGAAGAGCGGAGGGAGGAGGAAAAAGAGGGGAGGACAACCAGGTAGAGGAGGAGGTTCTGGAAGGAGGATGAGGAGGAGGAGTTCAGCAGGAAGAAGGGGAGGGGGCGCTGTAGGGAGGAGCAAGAGGAGAAGGAAGGGGCTCTTCGGAAGGAGAGCACCAGGCGGAAGACGAGGAGGCGGGCGTGCATATCTCATCGCGTTGAGCAGGTCGGCAAGCTCGGCTGTTTGGGCTTGGCTTTGACAGACGAGCTCGCCAACCTCCCCATAGCACTCCACCTTACAACAGCTCCAAGCTCCCCCGTGGGCTGGCCTGGAGGGTCTTTCGACGTCTGCTTAGCGTATCAGGGCGCACGCCACGCACGGCATGGCTCCTGTGGGGCCCCCAGGTCGAGCTTTGGATAGTCCGATAATGCTCCCTGAGTGCGGCAAACAATCCTAACACTACTCGCAGGTTAGGGGGCATATGCCGACTATTAGGCCTGAGGTCGCGGATCAGAAGGGAGTTGGCGTCTGGGTTGCCCTACCGGAACACATCGAACAATCTACGCATCGCAATGTGGGTGGGTCGCGGAGGGGTGGTCGTCGGAGGGTCGCGTGGGTGGTGCCACAGAAAAATATGACCCAAAGATAGTGCGAGACAGCCCGTTGTAGGCGCAGTCTTGTTAAAACCATTGATGGTGGGCCTCGGGTGGGTCATCGGCGGGTCGGGAGGGCGGTGGCAGTTCTCCAAAGCATATGCAACACAGCCCGCCGCCAACGGCCATGGTCGTTTTCCCATGCCTTGGGTATGGGATTCTTGCTGTTAATTCGATGCCTCCGCTTCCTCTCTCTCCATCCTCCTCACCCCATATCCCTCCTCCCTCGCATGCTCGGACGCACTCATACTCAGACTCACTCACTCTCATACTGCGACTCACTCACACTCAAAGTCGGATTCACGCACACTCAGACTCAGGCTCAGACCCACTCATTCTCACTCGCATTCAGACCCACTCATACTCAGACTCATACTCTGATGCGCTCGCACTGAGAAGCAGACTCACCCACATTCAGACCCACTCACATTCAGATTCCCTCGCATCCTGCCCTGCTTATACTCGGAGCGCCCCATACCCAGGCCCACTCGGCTACACATGAGACTTACTTCTGCGCAGGCCCGCATACCCATACGCACACCCTATGGCCATCGTGCTGCGGCGGGCACGGCGCTTGGCCTCCCAAAGGTGCGCTGCAAGGGGGTATTGCCTGGGCCCCTTCGCGCTCCGACTGCCCCGACCTCCCAGGCAGAACGCCCGCGTTGGCGGGGCAGGCGCGCCTCTTCTCAGAGCCCCGAATCATCAGGGGTAACTCGGGTCAGGGTTAACTCGGGTTCGTTTCTCGGGAGTCCGAACCCGAGTTACCCCGGACCCGAGTTACCCCGGATGATTCGGGCGCCCAGAGCCCCACATCATCAGGGGTAACTCGGGTCAGGGCTAACTCGGGTTCCTTTTTCGGGAATCCGAGCCCGAGTTACCCCGGACCCGAGTTACCCCGGATCACTCGGGCGCCCAGAGCCCCACATCATCAGGGGTAACTCGGGTCAGGGCTAACTCGGGTTCCTTTTTCGGGAGTCCGAACCCGAGTTACCCCGGATCACTCGGGCGCCCAATCTTCCCGTCGCCCCATGACCACCGCGATGCCACAGGCCGGGCGCCTGGGCCTCCCACGGGGAGAGCCGCCCGCGGGGCACTGCACCCGGCCCGCCTGCGCCCCGATGGGCCCTGAGCTCGCGGGGAGAGGCCGGCCGCTCTCGGGGTGGCAGGCGCGCCCCGGCCCGCGGCCCACGGCCCACGCCACTCGGGGGCGGAAAAGAGGGGGGTGATGACGACCCTGACCTTCCAGGAGGGCCAAAAAATAGCACCGGGACGTCGACGTCCTAATCCCAGTCAAGGTTTGAGGCAGTCCAGATAGGTCTATAGGTCTGGCGTGCTCTTTTTTAGCACTCTGGAAGGTCAGGGTAGGGGGGGGTGGATCTCATGGCGGGGGCCATGACATTTCCCCAGATGTTATGGCGCCTCTTCTCATCTCATGACGTCCCTGGCCCCCCTCGCGGGGCCGCGCACATGCCGCCGGTCATGATTTGCACCCCCTTCTTGGACACCCCCTTCTTGGCCGCTTCCGAACCACTCGGGGGTCCCCAAACGGGGTGGTGACCACACCGTGCGGTGAGTCGGTGGGGATTCGGGGTCACCGCACGGTTCTGGGGCTCGAGTCCCTCTCCGGGGACGTCCCGGGCGATGGGGGCCTCCGGGGTCCCGAGACCGTGCGGTGACGGGCCGTGCGGTGAGGTCCTGGGGGAGTTTTCGAGGTCACCGCACGGTCCGTCACCGCACCGTTTCGGGACTCCCAAACCACCCCCCACCACGGCCTGCTCCCGCCGCCCACCTCCGTTGGCACGCCGCCCATCAGGGCCAAGACCTCCCGGCCGCGGCCTGGCGCCGCCCCCCGTGCAGAGGCGGATGCCGCCCTCTTGCGGGAGCGGCGGGAGGACCTGCGGAAGCAGCAGGCCCTGCCTTCGGCTGAGCGGTGGGGCCTCGCAGTGCCCATGTCAGGGGCGGGAGCAGGCGAGGTTCGAGGTCTTCGAGCGTTCTCGTCGGTTCTCGTCAGCTTTCCAGCTTCGGGGATGCCCTCCGGCGGCCGACACTGGCCGAGAGGCGTGCGGGCATGCCCGGATCGTCCCGAGCGGCCGCCAGGAGGCCGAATTATGACCCGAAAGCCAGGGGGCAACGGGGGGGGGATAGGCCTCGGCATCGACCCCAAATCGCCCAGTCGTCACCGACCTGGGCCCAATAGCCCATCCCGCCCAGGACAGTGCTGATCTGCTGCCGGAGGCCCATCGCCGATTCCAGGTCGCTGTTTCCCCCCCGTCAGGCCGTAGGTCTGAGGAGAGGCGAGCGGGTGGAAATTTGCAAATGTTATGGTTCGTCGTTCTGCCTCGGGGTGGGCCCGCCGTGGCCATGGCAGGACGCGGCTCTGAAAACTTGGCACACGATGTTGCTATTGGAAGGCCTCTGGGAGGATCCCCGAGGGGCGCGCAGGGATGGCGCCGCGCGCCGCATCCCCGAAGGGCCAGGCCCTCGCAATCTGTGTAGTAGGGCGCTGGCGACAGTGTTGGCCCAGCTGCATCGCTTTTGGCCAGGAGCGTCACAACAACGCACGCGCGCATGAGTGCACATGGCTTTCGAGAGAACGCACCACGGCGATGGTTCGTAACATCAGGGCGGCCTCGCGAACTGGGGGGGAGCATGTTCACGCTCCCACCAGCAGGAACATAAGATAAGACATCGGTCTGCCAGCGGGCGCCCCACCGACATTTCTTATCCCCCCCTGGTCACAGGGACCCACAGAAGCTCGGGGGCACCTTCGGACCCTCAACTATCGACGAAGGTTGTGCCCCAAGATATCCCACAGCAAGACTTACTATCGTATGTGTCCACTGTCTTCGGGATGGCAGGGTCAAAGTCCCGAGGAACGCCTTGATTTCGGGCGGATCTCGGGCGCGGAGGGTGCCCGGGACACCGCCAGCGTAGAGTTGCTTTTCTTCCGCGCACACGTGTAAGTTGCAAGGCCTGCGCACGCCGAGCAAAGCTCGAGAGCATGCGGCCCAGCACGTGGTGAAGACTGGGTGAAGCCTGACAGTCAGAGCATCAAGAAGTAATGACGCTGATGCGTTCCAAGAGTTCCAAGATGTCCTTGTTCCGCGCTCCTGAAACGAGGGCCGCTGGGTACGTTGGAAATCCTGGAATGTATGCCGAGCCAATTGGATGATGGCATCATCTTCGCCTAAGACAGGGAGCGCCCAGCACGCGACAAGCTCCCACGAAGAAGGCCTGACCTTGGCAAGTCCTCACCCCACCTGAACTGCGCCTGGCCGTAACCAGGACTTCTGCATGCTCCGTCTGTGTCGACGTCCCTAGTGACGAAGTCGCAAGAAGCAGAACTACATGTTGTGCCCGTGCCCAGTGTCGTCTCTCGGAGACAGCGACTGCAACCAAGACCTAGGGTAGAGTCAAGAATTTGCAAGCCACTAGACTGGCGGGCAGACCTGTTTACATAATCAAGTCTACCCAATGCTTGCTTCAAGCATGTGGTGCGATGAGAGCACGTCTGGGATGTTCAGCATATACACCTATATGCACATATCAGAGTGAGGAGGGCGAACGGTCATTCACTGTCCCTGGGTGCGTGGCTGCACTGGGATTCCGCGATGCGGATTCTTATTGTTGTTGTTTGTTTGTGTGTTTGTTTGTTTGTTTGCTGTTGTTGATGTTATTAGCATTATGGTTGTTGTTGTTGTTGTTGCTGGGTGTTGTTGTTGTTGCTGTTGTTGTTGTTCATTGGCGTCGTCCCCTCCGCGACTCGGACCGCGACCAACCCGCGACCCGCCCGCGACCCACCCGCGACCCACCCGCGACCCACCCGGAGACCCACCCGCGACCCACCCGCGAACCCTCCCCGCGACCCGCCCGCGACCCGCCCGCGCACACCCTCCGCGACCCGGCCCGCGACCCACCCGCGACCCACCCCCGACCCGTCCGCGACGCGGCTCGCGACCCCCCACCCCCGACCCACCCGCGACCCACCCCGCGACCCACCCAAACTGCTTTGACGAAAGATCGGCGCCTGCGGCGGGCCCGTGGTATAAGATATAAAAGTGAGGCGCCGGCGGCGGGCAGACGGCAGAGCCCCGCCGCCCCCTCACGCTCATCCGCAACTGCGGGGTGCTGCGCATCTCACATCGCGCGTGCGTCCCAGAGCAGAGGAGCGTGTCCCGTGCCAGAGTGCCGGCATGCGCGCAGGAGTCCACCAACCCTCCCCAACCGGAGCCCTCTGTAGGTCAGTTTCGTTTAGATTGTGGGCCAGGGGGCCTTTCGGGGTCCAGCGCGGCATGGATTGCACAACGCCTACAAAGAACATCTTGAACCGGGCATAGTGAGTATGAGTGCATTGCGGGTGGGAGATCCGGACGATACCAACGTCATCACAAGGCTAGGACAAGATGCCAAGAGTGCTCAAAGCCAACGGGCTGCCCCAGCTCGCGCAGCATCGCGAAGTTAATTTCGGGAAGCATTCGCAGATCGAGCGTATCCCCACTGTGGGTGTTAACCGTTGCTTCACATGTTTGGAACTACATGTTAGAGCCTCCAGAGAGAGAGAGAGAGAAGCATAGAGCCAGTGGTGCCTGATACCATGCGCCGTGGGTGAACCGAATGATATGCCGTGTGTATATGGCATCTCCAGGCTGGCTGCAGAGTATCACGAGCAGGACGGCAAGGAGCAGCAGCAGCAGGAACAGCAAGACCGTCACGGCGTGCTCCTCGGCTCGGAGCCCTCGACCCCAGTCCCGGGTCCTGCTCTTTTTTTTGCCGGGGGCCGGTTGTCTCATGCCCCAGGGGCCTCGAGCGTGCCTCGAGAGGCCCAGCGCGCAAGAATACTCCGACCGTAGGAGTGGCTTGCTCGCGACGCCCGGAGTACTGGTCGGGAGTGGACAGACCTCCTACCCTGACACGTCGATTCGCGAATTGGCCGTTTTCGGAACGCGAGAGGGCGTCGCGGCCGTCGTTTTTGCGGGTCCAGGTCCAAAGGCTTCGGTTCCAGGCCGTTTTCACGAAAGGGAGGTCTTCTAAAGGGAGAGTTGTCCACCGCCGAACTGGGGAGCTGGACGAGGAGAAGGAGGAGGAGGAGGGGGCGTGCCAAGGCTTCGGGCTGCGCACAGCACCTCCCAAGGTAGGCCGGGTAGGCCCGGACCAGGCTCCCCGAGGTGTCCGGGGCGGTCTCGACCCCCCGACCCTGGGGCGCGGAGTGCCCCAGCGGCGCCACCGGAGGCGGCACCAGGGTGCCGAGACCGCCCTGGGCTGCTGTGAGGTCGGGCTTGTCCCTCCACAGGAGGGAATATTCGAGAATCGTCAAAACATAGACTGGGAACTATGATTTGACCACTTTTGAGCATGTTTAGAAAGTGTTTGGGGCATTTTCAAGTTTTCGTCCACAATCGGCCCGAAGGGGGACAAGCCCGACTTAAGACTACTGTTGAAGACCAGTCGGGAACTCGTGGAGGACTGTCTGCGCATAGCCCGAGGCCTCACCAAATGAGGGGCAGGAGCCTTGAGAAAAGCATCAGCCAGTATGGAGGAGCCTCAACTGAAGCATAAGCCAGTATGCAACATCGGAAGACAACTCGGCCGGAGCCCTGGACCCCATCGTTCTGCTTCACTTTTTCTAGCCAGATCAATCCGTGAGGGTCACCGGGCCCGACACAAGGCAACATCGCGCGTTGTAAACATCGTTTCGCCAGGATCTCATGGTGTATGGGGAGTTGTTTAAGAACAAGGAGCACATGCACAACAGAGCAGCAAGACTGGAGGGTGTCCATCCGTCAAGCCTCGCCGACAGGCCGTCCAGGAGCAGATCGACTCGCTGGGGCTGCTGCTGGAGCGCGCGGTGGCGAGGTCACAAGGCAGCAGGCCCAGCAGGGGGAAGGGGCGCTCACGGGCAAGAGTAGGGGGGGGAATGGGCTCAGAGGGTGGGTGGGCGAGGTTCGAGGTGGGAGGTTTTCGGATGTTTTCTCCGGTTCTCGTCGGCTTTCCAGCTGTCCAGCCTCGGGATGCCCTACAGCGGCTGCGCATCGCCGAGACGCGTGCGGGGATGGGGATGCACGGACCCGAGTGATGACCTATGACCCGAAAACCAGGGGGCAACGACGGGGGCAATAGGCTCAGGGGGGGGTACATCAATCCCCAGTCACCCACTCGTCGCCGATAGGGGCCCGATAGCCCACCCCGCCGAGGACCATTCGGATTCGCTATCGGGGGTCTATCGCCGATCTATCGGCGACTTAGTTGCCTCGATACGCCCGTTTTGAAACGCAATACGTCCCGTGTTCAAGGCGTCCGTGTCAATACGGTGCGTGTTGGCCCCACGTATTGGACCACGTGTTGGCGAGTGTATCGCGTCGGACCCACGTTTTCAGCCTACGTGTTGAGCTCCGTATCAACACGATCTGTGTTGCGTGTTGCGTATCGGGGCAGCTATGATCGGCGATGTTGCGCAGATTCATGCTCGATGTGTCCCCTCCTGAGCCAGCCCCACCCACCCACCTGCTACCGCTCCCCCTCAGGGAGGTGGTGGGGTCCTACTGAGCGGAGGGAGAGCTTGGTTGCTCCGTGACTGTCAACGAGCATAGTATTAAGTCGGGCCTGTCCCTCTACAGGAGGAAAATTCAAAAATAGTGAAACAAAAGTCGGCGGACCATTTTTGCAGTATTTTTGTGACCATTTGGGGGTGTATGTTTGTGGTCTTTTTACTTGTTCGTCCGAAATCCCCCTGTAGGGAAGACCCGACTTAAGCATTGTAGCATGAGTTCGGGGGAGTTGGGGTTTTCGGATGTTTTTGTCGGTTCCGTGGGGCTTCCCTGTCTCGGGGTTCGTTCCAGCACCTGCGCCTCGCCGAGAGCGTTCGGGGGGTGCCCCCCCCAGGTTTACCCCGAACGGCCGCCTGAGATTCGATGCACAGCCCGTAAACCAAACCTTCGGAGGACAAGCGTGGGTCGGCCCGCTGGGGACCGCGGGGCGCGCGTGGGGGCCCTCCGCCTCGTTTACGGGCGCGGACCGTGACGGCCCCCTCTTCTGCCTCACCCCCCTCCCAAAAAAAAGCACGATGGAAGTGGGTGCGGGAAGACTGGGCACGAAGACGGACAGCAGCCCCTGCCCATGTTGAGCAGGACTCGCTGCAGGTGTCGCCGCGGGCGGTGCCCATTTTGGCACCGAAGGTCGCCTGCACAACAGCGGCCGCTGGTCAGTTTTGGACCGCATGTCCTGTTGGGCATCGCGCCCCTTTTGTGACGTATCCTTCCCGGGCGTGCCAAGTGCCGAGTGGGCGAGGGTAACCTCGGAGGCCCCCAAACGGTGCGGCAACCGCACCGTGTGGTGAGCCAGTGGGGAGTCGAGGTGCCCGCACGGTTGTGGGACTCGGGCCGTCTTCCGAGGACGTCTCGGGCGGCTGGGGCCTACCGGGTCCCACAACGGAGCGGTGACGGACCGTGCGGTGAGGTCTTCGGGGATGTCGAAGTCGCCGCAAGGTCTGTCACCGTTTCGGGACCCCTGAGGGATTGCGTGGGGGGGAAGTGATGGGAATAGATCGAGGATCGAGGTTACTTGGCGTTCTTCGTCCTTCGTGGGACGGCTGGACTCCCTTCGAAATTCTAGCCGAAGGAGCACCACAGTGCACCAAGAAGCCTCCAAGACAGACAACACCAAGAGCGATCCAGAGTGCCTCGAGAAGCATTCAAGACGGCGCCATGGAAAGCCCAGACCATGCCTAAGAGGGCCCCTAGAGGGCCCAAAAACAAATCAGGATAGGCCCAGGATGGCTCCTGGAAGAGACCAAGACCGCCGAAGAGGATTCCGAAAAAAGAAGAAGCCCAGTTACGGCCCGCAGAACAGCAGCGATCAGCAGCAGGAGGCCTCAGCAAGCCTAAGAAGCAAGCAGCATCACCGAGCAGCAACAGCAACCAGCAGCATCACGCAGCAACAGCAAGCAGCAGCAGCACGCAGCAGGCTGCATGGCCAAGGAGAACTAGCAAGCAACAGCGTCATGCAGCATCACACAGCAACAGCGAGCAAGCATCAGCTTGCAGCAGCAGCAGCTGCAGCAGCCGCAGCAGCAGCAGGCTGCAGGCAGCAGCACGCAGCGAGCAACAACGGCGAACAACCCTCCGCTTCCAAAATGAGGGACACTCCAGAAAGGGCCTCTCCTTCTGCGCATGTTGTTTTCGGCAAAGGCTTGAGGATGCCAGCGGAAGTGCGATAGCGGCGGGTCCGCCAGCGAAAGCCAACGGATGTAGAAGTGAGACGTCATTATTTAGAATTCAGGGTTTCTCGGGTCAGCCATCCGTCCTCCTCTCAAGGCCGTTCAACTTTGCATTTTTTCACAACGCGTACCCAAGAGTTTGGCGGCCCCATGGCCATGCAGGGGTGGGTTCGAGGTTCCAAGATCTACCCTCGCGCCTGTCCTGGCGCGCGTTCTGGGAGAAGAGGTGGATCTGGGGCCGGTCCCGGTGTTCCCGGCGTTCCCGGCGTTCCCGGGGTTCCCGGCGTTCCCGGCGTTCCCGGCGTTCCCGGCCGGCGTTCCCGGCCGGCGCTTCCAAGGTTCCCGGCCGGCCTCCCGGCGTGCCCGGCGTTCCCGTCGTTCCCGGCGTTCCCGGCGTTCCCGGCCGGCGTTCCCGGCCGGTATTCGCGGGGTTCCCGGCCGGCGCTCCCGGCGCTCCCGGCGTTCCCGGCGTTCCCGGCCGGCCCGGCGTTCCCGGCCTGCCCGACAGGCCCGGCCGGCCGGGCCTGTCTGGCCTTCCCCGGCCTTCCCGGTGTTCCCGGCCTTCCTGGCCTGCCTGGCCTTCCCGGCCCGCCGGGCGTTCCCGGCCTTCCCGGCGTTGTCGCCCTCCTCCTCCTCCTCCTTTTCCTCCTCCTCCTCCCTCTCCTCCTCCTCCTCCTCCTCCTCCTCCTCCTGTTATTATTGTTTTTCTTCCTCCTCCTCCTCCCCGTCGTCCTCCTCCTCCTCCTCATCCTCCTCCTTCTCCTCCTCCTTTTCCTCCTCCTTCTCCTCATCATCCACCCATTCCTCGCCCTCCCTCGTCCATCCTCCCCCTCCCCCACATCCTCCTCCTCCTCGTCCTCCTGCACTTTCCCTTCCTCCTCCTCCTCCTCCTCCTCCTCCTCGTCGTCCTCCTCCTCCTCCTCCTCCTCATCCTCCTCTGCGTCCTCCTCCATCGTCCCCTCTTGGGGCATGATGGCTCCCCCTGCCATTTGTTCCTCTGTGTGCTCCCCCCACTTCGCTGATCAAGGGAACTCGTCTGGGCATCGTGTCTGGATGGGCTGGTGGGGTTACGCGAAGGGTCAAGAATTTGGTCGAGGCGTGGGCCCCCGGAGTGTGGGAGAACTGCCCAAGGGGCCGTTTTTTCGTCCAGAGACGTTTTGTGACAGTCCTGGGCCCTGGTATCGGCGTCCGGAGGCCGACGAAGTGCGCAAAACGTGCCGCACCAATGCTGTCGAAGCCTCGGATGTCTGGGTTCCCGGCCTGCCTGGACGTCCCGGCCTGCCCGGCCGCCCCGGCTTGCCGGGCCTGCCCGGGCACTCTCGGTTTTGCCGGGAGGTCCTGGCGGGCAGCCTGCCCAAGAGTCTGAGTCTGAGCGATAGCGGCCTCTCGGGCCGGGTTTCGCTGAGGACCCCTGGTTTCGTTGGGGGGGCTCCTTACAAATTGGTTGGTTTTGCCTGATTCGGGCCCGGTTTCATTTGGGACGTCCTTACAATTCGCGTGGGTTTTCTTGATTAGGGCCATGGTTCGCTGCAGAAGTCCTCACTATGTGTCTGGCTTGGCAACGTTGTCAGCCCGATTTCACTGGAGAGGCCCTCACCGAATCCTTCGTACAACAAGGTGCGCACGAAAAGTCTTTACATGTTTGGGACATTCGAGACGCACTATCATGATCCATTGCCCCGTCCTCCCTAATCGCAACCTAATATGCATGTTATGTGTTTCGTCGTGTTTCTCCTCCCTCCTCCCCGTCCACGTATCCTTTTTTCCCGCCCCCTCTTCATCCTCGTCGACCTCCGTCACTATGACTAATATCGGAGGTGGGGCGGGGGGAGGGGGGGGGCGAGATCGCAGTAAAACGGAAAGCCCCCCGCCGGGAAATCGGTTTCGGTTTCGCGTTCGTGCGCGCGGGCGAGGCGAAGCTGCGTGGGCCGGCGAGAGGAATGAACCCTCCTCTCGGGAGGCCGCGGACGGACTCTTGGCTCCCCCCGGGCTGTTACGCGATGGCTGGGATTGTCGCGCCGTGGTGTCGTGGCGTCGTGATCTCGTGGTGCCGTGGTGTCGTTGTGTGGTGTCGTGGTGTCGTGGTGACGCGGTGTCGCGGTGTCGTGGTGTCGTGGTGTCGTGATGCCGTGGTGTCGTGTCGTATTGCCGTGGTGGCGCGGTGTCGTGGTGTCGCGGTGTCGTGGTGTCGTGGTGTCGTGGCGTCGTGGTCTCGTGGTGTCGTGGTTGGGTGTCGTGGGGTCGTGGTGACGCGGTGTCGCGGTGTCGTGGTGTCGTGGTGGCGTGGTGTCGTGATGTGGTGTCGCGGTGTCGCGATGTGTGGTGTCGTGGTGTCGTGGTGTGGCGTCGTGCTGTCGTGGTGACCCGGTTTCGCAGTCTCGCGGTGTCGTGGTGTCGTGGTGTCGTGGTGTGGTGTCATGGTGTCGTGGTGTGGTGTCGTGGTGTCGTGGTGACGTGGCGTCGTGGTGACGTGGTGTCGTGGTGTCGTGGTGTGGTGTCGTGGTGTCGTGGTGTGGTGCCGAGGTCTCGTGGTGTCGTGGTGTGGTGTCGTGGTGACGCGGTGTTGCGGTGTCGTGGTGTCGTGGTGTCGTGGCGTCGTCGTGTGGTGTCGTGGCGTCGTGGTGGCGTCGTGTCGTGGTGCCGTGGTGTGGTCTCG